GTGGGGGCGTTATAATGTGACTGTCAATCCAACTATTCGTCGGTAAAAGAGTTGGCGGTGATGACTAGCTACCTTCCCTCTAGTCTTCCACTGCTAAATTAGGCACGGCTAGCGCAGATAGCCCTCATGTAGCGAAATAAAAACAAACAAGCTATATATTAGAAGTTATTAATCTAACTAATTTTTACCAATAATTATTATTTGAATACGCCACAAATTCATTTCATGAATGATTTTAATTTTGATTGGCTCGCAAAGGATTTTATCGACGTTTGACTGCCTCCACTTCCCGTTTCTGCCTCTTTGTTGGTCATGCTTGATTTCTCAAAATTTATTTATTTCAGTTAGCTATGAAATGTGAGGGTATGGTAAACTATGGGGTGGGGGGTAGTAGTATTTGCTCGGTTATATTTGATTAGATATTATAAGTATTAGATATAAGCGATCGTATAGTCGAGTAACCATGACAACAACTAAATTAAACGTTGTAGCTACGCTTGTCGTACCATGAGCGTAAAACAGCGTTAAAGAATTTTACACATGTAAACGAAACAGGTGTGACACCTGTCCACATATAACCAGCACTAAACATATACGAGGAAAAAACACAACTTTCGGCATAAGACACTCCTTTACATATGCCACTGAATGTATAATTTACTGTGCAATTTGTAAAAAATACAATAGTTTATACATTGGACAAAGAGGCCGCTGATTCGGCGATAGAGCACGGGAACCTTTAAACTGTATCAAACTCTAGAACCAAGATACACTTATCTTATAGGGAAATATTTCACAATCAACAACCAATCAATCTGAGAACCATTTGGTTTAAATGGACGATTTTCTTTCCCATGTCTTCTCTCTCTCTCTTCTTTTTTTTTTCATATTTTGGGTCAACTGTAATTTCAATCTATTTTATGTTTTCTTGACTTGTGATATTGATGTGTAAGATGTAATTTTTCTGAGAAATTCCATGCTCAACGATCCACGGGAATCTCATCTTCATCGGGATTCGGTCCATGTTTGGGATCAGGGAGGGTCAGGTTCAGAGTAGACCTCTTCCTCCGTCTTGGGAATTGTTACTGTTACTGTTACATTCTTGTTGCATTACCCATAGTAGGTTACGTTTTTTCCATTGTCCGCAGTTTTAATTAACATACCCTTTTCGTGCCATGTCCAGTTCATGAGGTAATATTAACTCGTATATTTTTACTAGCTTCACTTATATGTGATCGCACTATTAGTCCGTGTTCACAATACAGTTCCACTTAGCAGTCATATACACACACATATAATCCTATTTTTATATACAAAACCCTTATAAAATAGAGCTACGTTTGTGTCTAGGATTCAGTTAGTCTAGCACTGTTTGGTCTGTAAGATTCTTATTTATGATGTTTAAAGGGGAGAGATATTTAGGGTTTGGTTCATCATGTATTATGTAACTTACTAGTTTGCTCATCAGTTCATGTTTATAAATATTTTATTATGATATTGAAACGAGTTATCTAGGAGTCTGTCTGATAGAGTTGGCATGTTTAAATAGTGGTATAGAAATACTGAGTTTGTTGATCGTGGGACTTGTTATGAATTGAGAATTTGAAATAATCCGAAGCCGAATTAAATAATTAAAATTTTAATAGTTGAATTGTACCCTGGATTTAGTGTCTAGAAATATGCTGATATTTTATTTAATTTACGCTATTTGCCAACAAGATTGATTCACACCGTTTTTGTTTTTGTCACAAATACGTTTTAATATATATACAACAGTACAATTTACAATAGCAACTATTACAATTAATCACTACAAACAAAGCTTCATAAACAAAAAATTTCACTAACTTGCAAATAACATAAAATCTTCCTAGTTCAGAGTCTCCTTGATATCCAGCGAGTTAACTTGAAGTCGATGAACGTACAATTGCCGAGAAGCTAACTAGCTTTGTTAGACACTGATTTGTTGGATCATTGAAGTAAGATAATATTTTCTTAAAACCATTAATGTCCGATGAGAATCCAGTAATATTTTCGGAAAGATACTAACGTCCGATGAAAATTCACTGACGTTCGAAATTTATAACTGTTCCTGGTCAAATGTCGTATATTTTCTGGTTGATAAGAGTTAGCAAAATCACGGTTTATAGTGTACACGGTTATAACAGGTTCCTTTTTATATATGCAAGAAATATTTTCTCGAAAGTTCAGACAACAATACTGAAGTATATTTAACCAGTTACGGAAGTGGACATATTGTCGATTCTTGCGTTCACGAATATTCTAAAACCTTGGAGAATTAGCGGGAGTTTCGCCATACGTAACTAACATGGCTATGCACGTTTTTACATATAAACTTAATCCCAACAAACGTTGTCATTAAAATAAATATATAAAAATTCGTTACACGCCATACATACCTGACACTATAAGTTACGCATATTTTTAAATACAAATTTAATCTAAACAACGTTCACATTAAAAATAAATACATAACAATAAATTCGTTACATACTCTATATGCTTTCGTTAAAATGTAGTTTTGTATTTGCTTTAGTTTATTGATGTGTGTTTTTGATACATTTATCCATGTTGTATAGGCATATTATACGACTGGTCTTATGTATGTTCTGTAAATTGTTAATGTGATTTTTGGTGAAACTCCTTGTTTGTTGCCAGTCAGACTCCTAATGTAACTCGCTCTTTTCCAAATTCTGGTTTTTATGCTATTAATGTGTGGTATCCAGTTTAATTTTGAGTCAAATGTAATCATTAAGAATGTTGTTACCCGTAAGAGAGTCCCTCTAGATATAACTGTGGTATTAATTTGATTGTTTTGTACGATAAGTCCCGTCTAGATATTACTGTGGTATTAATTTGTTTGTTTTGTACGATAAGTCCCATCTAGATATAACTTTGGAATTAATTTAATAGTTTTGTACGATAAGTCCCGTCTGAATATAACTCTGGTATAAATTTGTTTGTTTTGTACAATAAATCCCGTCTAGATATAACTGTGGTATTAATTTGCTTGTTTTGTACGATAAGTCCCGTCTAGATATAACTGTGGTATTAATTTGTTTGTTTTGTACGATAAGTCCTGTCTAGATATAACTGTGGTATTAATTTGTTTGTTTTGTATGATCAGTCCCATCTAGATATAACTGTGGTATTAATTTGCTTGTTTTGTACGATAAGTCCAGTCTAGATATAACTGTGGTATTAATTTGTTTGTTTTCTATGATAAGTCCAGTCTAGATATAACTGTGGTATTAATTTGTTTGTTTTGTACGATAAGTCCCGTCTGAATATAACTGTGGTATTAATTTGTTTGTTTTGTACAATAAATCCCGTCTAGATATAACTGGGTATTAATTTGACTGTTTTGTACGGTAAGTCCCGTCTAGATATAATTGTGGTATTAATTTGCTTGTTTTCTACGATAAGTCCAGTCTAGATATAACTGTGGTATTAATTTGTTTGTTTTGTACGATAAGTCCCATCTAGATATAACTGTGGTATTAATTAGCTTGTTTTGTACGATTTTATAAATGACTTGTGTTTTATGAACATTAATTTTGATTCCCCGCTTTTTTATAGTAGGATTCTTTTTCGTTTAGTAGTAGTTGTACATTTCAGTCATGTTAAGAGCCGCTCAACAATAACATACGGTAAATATATTGTTACGACAGTGGAACTCACGTGACGCTAGGAGCATGCGTAGCGAATTTCTCGAATAATCGGGGAACTCCGCGAATGTTGGAGATGCCTCTTTGTTAGTATATAAGCCAGCGAGAGAAACGAACAATAGTTACGGTGAGTTCTGTGTAATTTATGATTCAGTTAGTTTTGAGCTAGTGAGCCGTAAAGTGTGTGTTTTGCACTCGTAGAGAGCGAAGTTATCGAGATTGTGAATCGCTGTGATTGATAGCATGTATTATAAAAGTTATTAAGTTTAAAGTGATGAGAAACGTACTGACTGAGGAATTACTGTGTACTAAAAGTTTGTATCGAGAAAGAATAAACTGGTTTAATCAAAAAAGTACTTGTATTGCTGAAGTTCCTTGGAAAGAATTTCTACCAGAAATTAACAAACAAGCAGATACGTAACAAATTGGTGTCAGAGAGTGGGACGAAAAAAAAGATGGAAACTAGAAGTTGCAAATCAAACTAAAACTTAGCAGATTTTATGGCAGCAATACAAGAACAGCAAAAGAAAAGAGAAGAACGAGAAAAGAAACAAGAAGAGAGATTACAGCAGTTGTTGGAGGAGAAAGAAAAGAAATAAAAATAACGAGAAAAAAAACAAGAAGAGAGACTACAGCAGTGGTTGGAGGAGAAAGAAAATAAACAAGAAGAGAGACTACAGCAGTGGCAAGAAAACCAGCACCAGTGGCAACTGGAACAAGAAAGGAAACAGGAGAAAGTCTCCAACAACTACAGGAAAGTCAGCAACATTAATGTATTTAATTCACTCTGAAATTTACTAATATTTTCCATTTGTACTTCATGCTGATGTTGTACTCTCTTTCCTTGTTCTTCTTGCCACTGTTGCTGACGTTTCTGTAGTTGCTGCTGACTTTCTCGCAACTGTTGGAGACTTCTTTCCTGTTTTTTTCTCGTTCTTCTTGTTTCCTTTCTTGTTCCAGTTGCCACTTCTGTAGTCTCTCTTCTTGTTTATTTTCTTTCTCCTCCAACCACTGCTGTAGTCTCTCTTCTTGTTTATTTTCTTTCTCCTCTAACCACTGCTGTAATCTCTCTTCTT